CAAACAGGGAATTTTTGCACATTGGTATGACTACATCGTGTTTTCACTTATAGCTGCTTCTGTGTCTTCACAGGTGAGGTGATACATAAGTACAACCTTACCCTTAAATACTGTCTTCAAAGAAAATACATTTACTTTATATATATATATATATAGTAGTAAATGGATATAGTATAGGGCTCTGGTTAAATATTATATATATATGTAATATATATAACCGGAGCCCTACCGTTTTGTCATTACAGCCCCACTATTCTCGAAGGAGCGAGCAAGCTTGCTCTGCGATATAGAAGGTGGAGACTGGGAAGCTGGATCTGCTAAGCCTTGCCTAATGCAAACTGCTTTAGTATGCACATCACATCATGCCGGCTATACTGCAGGGAGCAGGCAGTTATCGCACAAGCGTGCATCCTCAGAGCCAGGATAAACACTCCGTTACTCTCCCTCTAAACTGCTCTTCTGGGAGGGAGAGAAAATAAATAGGGAGCGAGAGAGGCATTTGAAGTAACCTTTTTAAGGAGGAGGAAGCAGCCAATAGAACCTTTTTTCTTTTTTTGTTGTGTTCTTTTTTTTTTTTTCTCTCCCCCACTTCTTACTAAAGAAATTCGTGTTACCTCAGCAATTAAGGAGAAGAGCCAGCGTCTAGGGTTCCAGGCTGTGAGGGGGAGTAGCAACTTGTACCAGGTAGGAAGCCCTTTCAACATACTCTTTAATTCATGCAGCTCAGTTACTACTTGCTCTGTTTCTATGTAGTGTCTGACTTCTGGAGACCTTGTGTCTGCTTGTCACCATTCCCCGAGTGAAAGAGACCTGGGGGAGATTTAATTGCCAATGACCTTCAGGGTATTTCTTGGAAAGACGCTAGTACTTAGAGCTGTGAAGTAAAGCAATCTATACTTTGTCTGACGGCTTAGAAGTGTGCATCAGGATGCAGCTGGGTGAAACTGCAGCTGTTACCCGTCTACGAAACCATGTCACAAATGAGTAAAAATTAGCCATTTTATAATAACCAAAGCAGCTGCTCTGCATTTTTAGCAACATGGCTGTATTACTTTCCAAAACTTATTGCCATACATTTCTTTTGTGCTGGGAAGCAAGCAGATATGCCTTAGTGTATTTAATGTTATTTTGACAGTTATTTACTGTATTTTCATAGTCACTCATGCATATTTTATCAGGACTTCTCTAAACTTTCCTGAGGCAGCCATATCTTACGTGGTAGATTAATATTTGTCCTAAGAAATAATTAGTGTGATAATTGTAGCGAGCTGGTTGCAATATTTGCTTTACAGTATCGCAGACATCTCCTGCAGCGTTTGAGGGCTGGGTGGGATGGAGCCTCAGCTCGCACAGGCTCATCTGCCTTAGTACTACAGAAGGACTGAGGGGAAAGTGAGGAGGAGGAGAAATCTGTAACTGAGTTTTGCGATCTCCTTATGCAGTGTTTTCTTCCCTAGTACTTTGTGTTCATTCCCATGAATAAATGGTTAGATGACATCTGTCCAATCTTTTTGTATTGTGACAATAGTGCGACTTAAGTTCATTAAAAGCTGAAGTAGCATGTGCATGCAATGAAAAGTTCGGAGCTTAGGAATCAGACCTGCAAGGATCGCCATCGTGTCTGTGAGACTCTTCACTTTTGATCAATTTAAGTGCCTGCCTTCCATGCAGTAAGGGAGTTGGAGGCAAACTTTTGCAAGCTTTAACATTCTCTTCTGTAAATCAGACCAGTGATAGTGAATTCTTAAGGGCAAAATACAGATGTGTTTTTGAAGTGTAAGCAGTGGTGTGAGCAAGTATGTCTAAAGATTGTTGTTTGCAAGAAAACCTGAAAATAATGCTCAAAACAGAGCTTAGGCACCACTGCTGTAATAAAAAAAATAAATACTGAAAATAGCAGAGCTCTCTTGGATGACTGTACCCACACAACCTCTTCTCATGTGCAATTGCTCTATGCACAAATAGCTCCATATATTTTGTTTAAAGGTATCTTGTGACTCTTATTGTAGGAAGAACTATAGCATAAGTCCAAACCTGTAGTCTTTGTTCTGATGAGCATAATGAAAAAAACAGTTCTCAGAAAATGAGAATTATATCCGATCGTGATAAAACCTGAGGAGCTGAAAAAGAAACAGTTTTGAAAATTATAGCTGTGAAAGGGAGGAAAGATCTAGTTAGTGACCAGGGTTGGCTTGAGGACCTAGTAAGTGATGAGAAGAGTTTTACCCTTTGTTTTGTCTGTTCTGAGAAATTCATCCTCAAAAAGCAACAATTTGATTAGCGACTAAGACAGGAAGAAAACCAGACTGGGGAAGCAATATCTTGACTCCTTATATTTTTTCTTGATATATGAAAGATGTGATAAAGAAAATGAATGGTACTCATGCCCTTCTGTTTTTTTTTTTAACAGGTATATATTTGATATAAAACTGAAGTCAAATATTACCTTAAAGAGAAAAAGGGGGTGGGAAAGGAAGCAAGTTGAACGCTTTGAATGCCACTAGAAACTCTTAGAAATTCAGGTTTCACAGAAGTTCAAGGCAAAGTACAGCTGGTTGGTGTGGCTGTATAGAGCTGGTTGCATTTTGGGGGGGGTTTGTTTGTGGTTTGGTTTTTATTGTTGTTTGGGTGGTTCTGGGTGGTTTGTGGGTGATGTTTTTTTGAGGGGGGGTAATTGGGGTTTTTGTTTGTTTTGTTTTTTTTTTTGTGGGTGCTTTTTTTTTCCCCAAAAAAGAATTGTGAATTGACTCAGGCTTTACATTTTGCATTGACTTCAGGTTTTATTATTTATTTCTTAATTCATTGTCATACTTGGTAACTCTGAGGGACAGGAATAGTCAGAGACCTGACTGGGATATACAGGTTTCTTAGCTTGGTACTGCTGGCAAGTCACTACCTTTCTGTGCCTCAGTTTACTCACATGTAAATACAGGTGTTGGCAGCTGCCTGTTCAGAACCACACTACGTATCTGAGTTTTTTGAGATTATCCTCACTCACACTAGTGGTGCTTTATGTAGATTTGCTTTTTTGTGACTGTAGTTCACCTTTTTTGCTTATAAGTTTTTTTGTGGCATGTTACTTGTTGCTCACCCTACTAAAAGCCTGCTGAACACTGACCTTCATGAATAAAATCATATTTCATTTATAAAACAGGTAGCGTAAATCAATTTATCCTTCATCCCTACCCTGGAAGTGACTGCTAGGGTTTGTGGGATGGCCCTGTCTAATTAGGAATCCTGTTATCTTTAATGAGACCCCCACAGGAGTCACTGCTAGCAAATCTACAATGTCTACATATCTGAAAGTATAGATCAGACTGTCTCATAAGCATTATTATTTCTTAGCAGAAATGGTGCAATTGGTTATACTGAGGTGTTTTTAATGGAAAAAATAAACTAATCTGACTACCACAGGAACTATGAGCTGACACCCCTGTTTCCATGCAGCAATGTGTGGGTAATCCCTTATGTTGGTGGCTTTGAACAAAGCTCCCTACCCCTCTATGAGTTCCCAGACCTGCTCAGTGATATTCCTTTTGGTATCCATGGGGTAGAGTATTGGGACTCCTAGTGCCATTAGGAAGACAAGATGAGGAAGCCTCAGATTTGTTGCAAGGGTCTTATCTGTTGATAAGAAAAGGTTCCTCTGTGAAAGCACAAGCAATTGATGTTTCTTTTTTACAATTTACTACATTAAGAAATTAGCCTGACTGGAGAGTGTTGTTTGTACAAGGACTATCAAAATGCAGTGTTTGAAATTCTAGGTGTTGATATAACTCTGTATTATTATGGGTCCCCAGAGTGGCCATTATCTTTTGATCTAGCTTTAGTTAATTTTAATAACCCCCTTGATTTCTGGAAGCAGAACGCTGAACACACAGTCCCACTAATACCTGATGACTGCAAATTTATACATGAGGATTTCCAAACAATCTCACAGCGCGCTTTTGAGGGCTGCACGTTTACACTGAACAGACATGTCCGTGTTCAGGCATGTATTCTTCCTACTGTGAGCATGAAGAGTATGAGACTAGATTTTCCTTTTTCCACTCTCCACTGACCTTCAGTAACATTTTTCCAAATGAACACTTGAAGACAATCGGGGACTTTTGTACTTTGCTTTCTATGTATGCAAGGAATTAGAATTAATGGTTGAACTCGGGGGATGAGGATTAATGGTAAGGCTGAGTAACGTGACTGCCACTGGACTTCACTGTCAGTTTTAAGAAAACAGTAAGGTACTTAACAGCATGCAACTTCTGAGATTTATTTAGGCAACAATCCCCAAAAAACCAATCATTACTAGCAATTTGCTGGTTTGTTGGTTGCTGGACCGTTAAGGTTCCAACAAACTGCCTGGTAACTGAAGTAATAGTAACAGCAAATTCTGAGGTGGGTATCTGCTCTGTGTTTCATGTGACATAACTTCATCTGTCCTTTTAGCTTTTTAGCAGCTAGGGATTCATTAAATAGTTTCTGTTAGCGCCTTTTGATGCTATGTGGAAAAGCTGTGATGCTGGAGCTGGATCTGTAACACATACATAACTATACTTTAGACAAAATGGGTGAAATTTGTTGGGTTTATTCCCTAAAAATTTATTGCATCTTTTGCCAAGACACATTATGCAGTATTATTATTTAAATGATAATAATAAAAACCTTATCTGACTATAATATTTTAAACAAAATTATAGCTTTGTATAGAAACGCATCCCTGATCTGATTCAATCACTCCTGTTAGCATTGTTTAGCACAAGGAAGTTCTTCTGACATGGGTCATTCTTATGGTAGGGAGAATTGGAAAAAAGTATCTGGGAATGTTTGGGCCTTATTATTCTCAGCCTTGTCAGAATTCAAAATTTCGATCAAAACTGACTGGTGAGAGACCCAGAAGACAAACTGGAAGCTGAACAGCTGCTATTTTCAAAAGTTCAGTTAAAGTTCCAGGTTTATTTAATGTTGTAGCTCTATTTCATTGTTTGATCTTTCAGTGACCAGAATAAAAGACAAAGAAACAAGGTGGATAATATTATTTCTTTTAAAGCACCACAGCTGTTTTATCTCTGTGGGCTTCGCTTGCATGATCCAGAAATCATCAATAGCTTAGGGTGTAAATATGCCTGTGTTGACTTCTTGTTAATGGAACTGAGGTGGGCAGCTCTACTAAGGCTGATTAGAACCATCAGAAAATCTGCCACGCTACAATGAAATGAAGGAAGATGGATTTAGGTCAGTATCTAATATGCCCCACATACAACGTTGGCAGGAAAAAAAAAAATATCAAAAGTCAAATATGCAATCTGAGTAATTTAGAATAAAAAAAAAACCAGACACTGGCTTATGTCAGTCTTTAGTCTGAATCTTACCTAGTACAGAAAATTATCCTCATTTTCCAAATGAAAAGGAAATACCACACAAGTACTTGTACCATATTGGGCATGAAACCCCCTGAAAATCAGAGGCTTTTAGTACATGTTTTATGAAAACATGAAACACCCTTTGTACAGTTCACAAGCTGTTGTTTTAATATCTATTTTAAGCAACTGGGCAGTGTCAAAGTTGATGTCTTTCTTCAAGCCTGGTAAAATTTTTCAGGATTAAGCTTCCTTACTGGAGAGCTGCAAGGGAGTCAGAGAGATGGAAAAATGATTTTGAGTATATTATGGTGCACTGGTTTGGTACAATAAACATTGCTCTGAAGTACCTCTTCAGATAAACCAACTTATTGTTGAAAGTACAAGGGGTGGAGAGAAGGAGGATTGTTCTGTTCAGCATCCAGCCTAGTGTGATAGACAGATACTGGTAAAGCAACAAAAGTAAGCAATAGAAATTCTGAAAAATAAATTATTTCTGTGAAGTGGCCATGCTATTGGTGCGTTTTCCTTCTGTGCTTGCTCTTTACTTCAGTGCCAGACTGGTGCAAATCTCTCTGAGAAAACCATCATTAAGGAGATGCAGTAAAGGTAAAAAAGTTGTTCTTAGAGTAAACGTATTTTGTGTTTTTTCTTAAAATGACAGCTATTTAAATTAAATAGTCTTTCCTAATGTAAAATATATCCATCAAGCTGTTGACACTAGTGTTTTGTTGAACACAAGGCATACCCCAATTTGGTACCTTTATTTACATTTGCCTGCAAAACACCTGCCAGATTTAACATCAAACCACTGCATGGCATAATGAGATATTTAAGTCTGCAGAAATGAATGACAGGCTTCTGTTTCCTCTTGCCATGAAAAGAGAACACTAATGTAAGACAGTAAAGCAGAAAAAAACCTAATGCTTTATCTGTATTATGTTTATCAAAACTACATTATCTGTAGACTTCTAGAAGTTAGAAAGAATAGACACTTCTGAGCATATATAGGTAAGGACATCGGAACAAATGAATTGTGACCTTTTAAGTACTCAAATATTCAAAATTAATTGTTATTTGGTGTATTAATGTCAAATTATCATCTAGAATCAACATTTTTCATAAGTAGGTGTAATTCAGGCAGAATGACACAGGAATTACATGTTTCACTGATGTGAAACATAAGTGGCGTGGTGTGATCTTCTTGAAACAGGAACTAAAGGTCAACTGCTCGGAGATGAATTATGAGCTGTGTTGGGGTTCTGACCCCCTATTCACTGTTGGGCACCTCTGTAGCCATACAGAAGAACAGCTGTACTTGAATCCTTCTCTCTGTTAACCAGGAAAATTGTCCAAATATTTAGTGCCCTCAGAATGCAAGATTCCTAACTGTTTGGTCCACATTCCTGTCCTGTCCCCAGACACACCATGCCAGTGTTGTGTTTCTTTCCTGGCACAGGGTGTAATGCCAGCCTGCCCAGGCACCCCAGCAGCTCCAGTATTTGTCTTAATTTGTAAGGCACTGAGCTTGCTCTAGATGCTTTTAGGACACTATTTAAAAAATACTTGTTTGAACTCTTCCCCTGAAATATACTTTGCATTTATAGATTTAAAGAAAGGGGTACCAGTGCAAAGTGGGAGGTAAGTAAGAAATACTAGCAATGTGAGAATGACACCTCTGCATGCTGTCTTTGAAGTAGAGCCAATGTAGTTATCAACACCTTACTTGCAGAAGTTGCTCTTGGTAGTAAACTGCTGTTTTGGAAGAGTGTGATGACTTGGAGTCCAGTTGGGTTTGTACTATTGGCAGCTTAGGCAGTAATTTGTTGCCTTATGAAATGCATACACATATTATTGAATGGATGGAACTCCTTAACTGCATCTGAACCAACATCACTGAAGTCTGACACTGTTTTCTCTTTTTACTTCTCATTAGTGGCTGTATCACAACTGTATCAATTTTATAGATGCTGAAATTCATGCAAAAAAGAAATTTGGGTATTTGCACCAATGACAATACCACAGGAGACCTTTCCCATATTGTTTTGCAAATAAGCCAGTGTCCTTGCCCATCTTGAGATATTCATCCACAATACTGCTCTGCACAGCAGTGTGCTTCTGAGCAGTGTTAGTATGTATGGAAGCCTGACACTTTTGGTTAGTGATGAAACCTCTTTTTTTCATAGAACTGTAGAATAGTTAGGGTTGGAAAGGACCTTAAGATGATCCAGTTCCAACCCCCCTGCCATGGGCAGGGACACCTTACATTAAGCCATGTCAGCCAAGCCCTCATCCAACCTGGTCTTGAACACTGCCAGGGATGGAGCATTCACAGCTTCCCTGGGCAACCCATTCCAGTGCCTCACCACCCTAACAGGAAAGAATTTCCTCCTTATATCCAGTCTAAACTTCCCCTGTTTAAGTTTTAACCCATTACCCGTTGTCCTATCACTACAGTCTCTAATGAATACTCCATCCCCAGCATCCCTATAGGCCCCATTCAGACACTGGAAGGCTGCTATGAGGTCTCCACGCAGCCTTCTCTTCTCCAGGCTGAACAGCTCCAACTTCCTCAGCCTGTCTTCATACGGGAGGTGCTCCAGTCCCCTGATCATCCTTGTGGCCCTTCTCTGGATTTGTTCCAACAGTTCCATGTCCTTTTTATGTTGAGGACACCAGAACAGCACACAATATTCGAGGTGAGGTCTCCCAAGAACAGAGTAGAGGGGCAGGATCACCTCCTTCAACCTGCTGGTCACGCTCCTTTTGATGCAGCCCAGAATACGGTTGGCTTTCTGGGCTGCAAGCGCACACTGCCACCAGCTCATGTTCATTTTCTCATCAACCAACACCCCCAAGTCCTTCTCTGCAGGGCTGCTCTGAATCTCTTCTCTGCCCAACCTGTAGCTGTGCCTGGGATTCCTCCGATGCAGGTGTAGGACCTTGCATTTGGCATGGTTTTCAAGGACACCCATTTAAGCATGAGGAGGTGAAGAACAGTGAATCTGGCTTGTCTAAGCTGATGAGAGAGGGAAAGAAGGCATGTTTGGATGTTGAATCTTGGCCAAAGAATTACTTTGGGAGACAACAAGAGAAGTACCTGAAACTCTGAGCATACCCCTTTTTTGTTTTGTTTTGTGCGCTTCATTCCTTGAGAGTCTATAACTGAAAAATACATGTAAGAAATTAGTAGTTACCCTCAGATTTTTGTTTAATTTATCATTAAAAGGGTCAAAGCAAAGTCAACCAATGTCTGAAATGAATGCATGGAATATTTTTTTTGCCTCTAGTTTGTGCCTCGGTGTACAGTGGTACATCGCAGTTTTCTCTCATGGCTAACACAAGTGATAACTAGTCAGCGTGTTTCTGGTGAATGTGCATTTTTTTTACAGATGTCTCAGTTTGCACTGATATTTTATAAACTATGCACTTAAAACATTAAATAAGAAAAAAAAGCAGGTGCAGATGCAAGGATGCCCTAAGAAGGAAAAGAAAGAACAGCATCTTTTAGGACATGGGAAATGAGGTGTTAGTTGCAAATCACTCTTTCTGGTGGTTATTGAGTAGACAATACCAAGTCCCTGTCAGTTATGTCTGTGTTTGACCCCATGGCACACAGTACATGCTAAAACAGAAGTGTCCTACAGGATGAGCTGATGGGCACTTACTTGAGTAGCCAAAGACATTAAACGCTTCCATCACTCTTGGTGATTTTTAAGAGATTTACAGCAGGACAGGCACTCCGAGAGTCTGCCTGAAGAGTCCTTCTCCAGGTGTGTCTTTGCTCTCTGTATTAGCAATTTGACAGGGACCTGTAACATTTAATTATTCAAACCTAGATGTAGACACAGAGAAACAAAAATGAGGGGTTTCGATCTCATGAAATTGTTTGAAGGTGATTATTCCAATTATGTGTATAAGGAATGTAACAAAGCCAGGAAAAAAGATTTAAAAATACAAGTCTGTTTAGATTTTTGGAACTTGTGTGTTTAGAGTTTCTGTCACTTGAAGAGTTTTGCTGTTAGACTCAGGTAAATTCTTGAGCTCTAGGAATAGCTCCAGTTCTCCCACATTGCTATCAATTAAATTCACTCTTACTTGAAGCTCATGAATTTTGCATAATTATTTTTAAATGGTTTGAATTTACGTTTACATTTTGAGCAGCAACACGGTGTGTCAGAATAAAGTGAATGCTGTGTGTAGAGGAACTGAGATTTTTTTTTTTTAAACGTTCTGTAATTTTTTAGGAAAAAAAGGTCTTAAGAATCGGTGTATAGGTGCATAGCTTGCACCTTGGTAAGTGTGCTCACTGGGTAAATCCCATGCTGCAGTTTACAGATCCATGTAGATATGTCCTCTATCCTTCCCAAAAGCCATGTGGTCAGAATTAGTACTGAAGGGGATGCTTAAGTCTATGGTGAAAGGCTGTGTGTCCTCGATGTGTGTTTCTAGAAGAAGGATGCTGAGAGCCAGAAGGGACAAGGAATGATTCTCTTGGGGCGCTGTTTTCTTGCTATGCAGCACATTAGCGATACCTGATTTTAAGTTCATTATTTTCGTACTGTGTAACAGCAGAATGACTGTTTCACCAACATTTCCTTGATGATAGAAATGCACTTCTGAATTTCAAAACATTGATTTATGGCTGCTTAATGCAACCAAGGGCAAAAGGGTCAAGTAGTTTCTGTGCTTTTGGTGTCTCAGTTAAGGAGTCAAAGGACCCTTCTCCACTCTTTATTCTTACTTTCCTTATTGATGGTTGTGTGTCTAGTGTTTCTGAAGTCCTGATGTGTATCAATTGCATCACATTCTAAATATTTCTTAGCTGTCCTGTAAAATACTATGAAAATAGTTATTTTCAAGATAGGTCATCATTCAAGCCTTTGAGCTGGAAAACTCAAAAGCAGGAGAAAAAAACTCAAAAAAAATAGATTTCTTTGAGATGCAGATTTATCATCAGGCATAGGTCAAGTCTTCATTTACCATTCAAATCATACCTGGGTACATCTCCAAGCAAGAGTTCAGGCTACACATTCTGTGCTGGCTACATCATGTTGGCACTGCAAGCTTACCACTGTGCTGCTGTAAGCTTTTAAGTATGATTACCTTGTTTTAGACAATGCCAGTGTATGCGGGCTATCAGATATGTGAAAATTATAAAGCACCCGACACCTTGGGTAATAAAGATGCTCAGACGTTGGTGAAAATTCTGGTATTTTTTCCAGAGAGAAAGACTAACATGTTCTTTAATAGTGACATGGTCTAGAGTGAGGCATCCCTGCCCATGGCAGGAGGGTTGGAACTCGATGATCTTAAGGTCCTTTCCAACCCTAACCTTTCTATTCTGTGAATATTACTTGAAGTAATTCAAAGTCATCAAAGTAATGGTATCCATTACCGCAATCTGCTAGAGCCGGAGATTATACCAAGGGGACTGTAGTGGAACCTGTATGTCAGTCTCTCAAGAATTGCTCCTGCTTCTTGTTTAAAAATTTCAGTCATTTCCTTGCAAAAAAAAATTAGCAAAAGCATTTTTTCTGATGCCCACAAAGTTTGTGGGCCCTGTCCCAGGGGGAGTTTAGAATATTATACAGGAAGAATAAAATGACCTTGAGGAGTACAGTAATAGTAGCTGAATGAAATTCAATAGGACAAAGTGCAAGTTCATGCACAAAACCAATACATTTCTGTTTAAGCTAGGAGCTCATTAATTGGAAATGACAGAGAAGGAGAAAGTCACAGGATGACTGCAAGCCACCAATGCAACGCATCAATGAAAAGGGCAAATGTAGTCTCAAGCTGTGCTGGATGACGTATTTGCATTAGCATAAGAAGTAACAAATACATGAACTAGGTCCTGCAGAAACAATAATGTAGAATATTTGTAATAGTGCTTTTTGCCTTTTAATTAAGGTGAGTTCAAACTGGAACAGGTGGAAAGAAAGATAACTGAGATGTTCAAGATAAAGGGAAATCTTTCATAAGAGAAGAGACTAACAGGCTTTGTGTTTAGTCCAATCACATAAAACTATCAGAAGATGAGCAGGAAGTTAAAGCATGATATAAATATATTTAAGACGGAAGTAAATGTGTCTGGCTTTAAAACTGTGATATTCTGGAGCCAGTTTTAATTGTGGTCAAAACCACTACAGAGCCTTTGAGCTGGAGAAATCCCTTTTTCTTAAAGGGGAAAAATTAACCTGCCTGCCAGTGACAGAAGGGAGCTAACCTCAAGTGCAGTCATTTCCAGTTCTAATTTAAAAGAAAAGGCCAGTATTGAAATCAGTTCTATCATTCAGATGCTGCTAGGTTCATGTGTGGTTCAATCCTTATTAGATTGTAATGAAGATGGAAGAAATTAGCATAAATCATAAACTGCTAGTACAGCGTTGTCAGACTGGAAAGAGTTGCAGTGTTGTAATGGCATTGATAATGCAGCTTATGGTCACTGACATATTTTCTTTTTACTCTGTCTGTAAAGACATATCCTATAAATATCTTCCTGGATATTTTTCAGCTAAATTAGTGGGTGCCAATCTGATTTTTCCCAAATGCTATGTCTTGGGTGCAAGTGGGTCCCTTGCTAACCACAAATAGAGCAAATACAGGCTTGAACAGTCATGTAAACGGTTCTTACAGAGAATTTGCCTTAATGTATTAATAATCTCCCATAAAATGGCCATTGGGTGGTTTTGGTGTTTGCGGTTTGGTTTTTTGTTGGTTGGTTGGTTGGGGTTTTTTCCCCTTCTAATGAACTGACACTAACTTCTTGCTGCTTCTGGTGTCAGTCACTTCCCCCGTGCTGAGCTGAATTGGTACTTTGGAAAACAGCATCTCTTATCTGGAGTGTGAAATCAGTGGGCACGAAACAGGAGTAACTGCTTTGTCTGACCAGTCCAGTCAGTATTGCTGGGAAGAAAAATGAAAGACTGAAAACTGAGTGAAAAATGTAAAGGAGAAATTAGAAGGAAGAGAGAAAAAGCATGGAGGAAAAAAGGGTAACTAGGAAAAACAGGGAAACAGAGAGGAAAATATCAGTAAAAGCAAAAGCAACTTGGCAAATTATCCATTTTAAATATTCATTTAGGCTGAAAAGAATTGCTACAGAGTAAAGCCACATAAATTTTAATTTTTACTGCAAAGTTTGTAGTAGAGCTAAATATTATACAGCCAGAACTGTGTGCTTACCTGGTCCTGAGAAATATCCAGTGCTGTCACTACACTGAAGGAAGTTTGAGATCCCACACTCCCATGTTTAAGGCTATCTTTAAACCCACCTTTAAGATCTTTCAGCCTGCAGCCTGGTCTCCACAGGCTGCTTTGCCACCTCAGATATTTGATCTTACTGTAGCTATTTACATTTTTTCCACATCCAAGGGTGGTCTGGGTTGGACACAGCCATCTTCCCAGGTTAGGAAAACCCTTCCGCAGCTCATAGAGTTTCTTACAGGAGTGTTGTGCTGCTAGAGTGAGAAAATTTGCATGCAAGTGCTGACAGATTAGCAAGCCCCCCAAAACAAATCTGATTTCCCTTAGGTCTTCTTGAGTTCTACTATAGTATTATCTCATTCCTTCCCAAGGTTTCACACATCAATGAAAGCTCAGTAACCTTGGGAGAACCTCTTTTATTCTTTCACTCATAGAATACTTGTGGTAGAGAGAATCTCTCTGATCCCCCTGCCTGCACACATCCAGGAGATAGCAGCAGAAATTCTACAGTGAAATGGGTTGTGAATTCTACAATGCCTGAGGGTACTGGAGTAGCTCTGAGAATAGATAATAAGTGAAGTTCCTCAAATACTGTCAAATGGTAATTGTGGGTTTAAATTGCAGTTTTATTGTCACAGAGTAGTATAGCTGGGAGGAATTCTTAGAGCCACCATGCTTGCGTATAGAATTATTCCTCCCCCAACTAGAGTTTTCCATGAATTATATTTTCTTCACCTCCAGTATCAAGACTTGTTTATTTTGGGCTTTGCTGCTGAATTATTGGTTATACCTAGTTAAAGGAGCAGCATTTAGGCACGCAATGGCGACGAGCAAAGATGTTTTTTTCTCAGTGTATGACTGAAAGTGACAATGAAGTGATTTTTTTCACAAGAAATAGTATTATTCCAGAATGATGCCCCATTCTGCCTTTTTCTTTTTTTTTTAATTTGTTCTTACGTGAACTACACACATTTTCTTGTGAAAATGAACATCAGAGCAGGAATAGTTTTCAGTGCATACTTTCTAAACCAGTCAATTTCAGTGGTAAGCAGATAATTCTTGCTTTAGTTGGAAGTAACCTTGTTCACCTTCCTCAGATAATAAATCTGTGCATCTACAGCCCAATCAAAGGCTGATAAAGAACCCAAAAGAGATCACAAAGAAACCCCCAAAGAACCACCCCTAAGTGTGTTCTTAAAATATAATTGTTGCCAACATAGACTTAATTTTTTTGGCAGCTTGAATACTTAATAAGTAGCAGCCAGAAAGGGGAACCCTGTGTTTTGAGAGAAATATTCTAGGGTAATAATTTAAAACTTCAAATTCTGCCACTCTTCCTTGAAGCTTGAAAATTCTACTTTTTTCATAGCATAATGTAGAGAATAACTGTATGATGTAGAAAAACTAAGCACTGCAACGGACTGATTAGGAGATATAGACTTCTAGCATGTTCACTATCAGAGAAATGCATGATTATAGAAGGCTGAAGGAATAGAAATGACTCTTCGTATCTGCCACCTCTTTTCATACTGTTCAAAATCTCTGCCTGTGCCTCATAAAGAGCTTCAGTTCTTC